TGCTCCTCCACACTGCCAAGAATCTTTCCGTTAGCCCTGTATTCTGCTTTCAAGTTTGTCGTTCCAAAATGAATCACCTCACACTTTTCAGGGTTAAACTCCATCTGCCACTTCTCAGCCCAGCTCTGCATCCTGTCAATGTCCCTTTGTAACCTAGAACAGCCCTCTGCACTGTCCACAACATGACCCATCTTCGTATCACCCGCGAACTTGCTAGTCCACCTTTCCACTCCGTTATCCAAATCATTTACAAAAATCACAAATAGAAGAGGACCCAGAACAGATCCTTGTGGTAGACCACTCGTAACTGAGCATGACATTTTGAAGAGGGACTAAAGTTCAAACCAAATTTACTCCTTCAAATAATACCATTAAAATTAGACACAAAAACAGAAAATGATTGTTAATCTAAGTCAGTCCGGTTTGATTGGTAGCGCACGCTCCTGAGTCATGGGTTAATGCCTTCATGACACATTTTAGGACTTGAGGGAAAAATTAAAGACTGACACTCCAGTTCAGAACTTGAAGTGCTATATTTTTGGAGGTGCCAATTTTTGGAATGAGATGTTAAAATGAGGTCCCTTTTGCCCCTTCAGGAGGATATAAAATACACCATGACGTTATGTCCAGAAAGCGCTGGGGTGTTATCTCCAATGTCAATATTATCTGTCAGTCAAGATCATAAAACACAATTTCTGGTCTTGGGAGCTTGGAACTATGAAGGTTGCCTGCCACGTTTTCAAAAGTACTTAACTGATTGTGAAGTACTTTGAGTCCAGTGGTTGAGGATATAAATGTGCCATATGAATAGTTATTTCTGAGTGGGGAGAGAATGTGGAAAATAATGACTTTTTTTAACCAAATGTAGTTTTTAACTGCAAAATCAAGCATGAAATGCATTAAGCATTTCAGAAGTATATAATAATTTTTACCAGCATTGGATCCCGTTAAAACTGAACATATTTAATTGTCAAGTCAACCAAACAAATTATTATATGTTATAATACTAGGTCTATGATAGTTTTGGTCAGAAAAGATTACAAGAATGGTTCTGGTGTGAGAGGTTTCAGGTAGTTAGATAGGAAAAGCTGGTCCTGTTTTTCTTAGAAATTTGAGAGGAAATTTAACGGAGGTGTTGTAAGGATGAGGAATAAAACAGTCTTAGTCCCTGCGACCTACTCACAACAAACGTGAGGGGAGACAGTCAAGGTGATTAGCAAAATTTGCTTTTGATAAGGTGCCGCACAACAGGTATAATACACAAGGTTATGATCACATGGGGTCAGAGTAATTTACTAACTTGGAAAAGGATTGCCTAACTAACAAGACAATTGGGATAAATCGGTATACTAGTGGGGTGCTGCAGGGCCTAGTCCTTGGGCCCCAACTATTTACAATCTATATTCATGACTTGGATGCGAAGGTAGAAAACACTATAGCCAAATTTGCAGATGACACTAAGATAGGTGGGAAAGTAAGTTGCAATGAAGAAATAAGAAAATTTACAGATGGATATGAATAGGTTACTTGAAAAGACCAACATTTGGCAGATAAAGTTTAACATGGATAAGTGTGAGGCTATCCATTTTAGTTGGAAGAATAGAGGGGCAACTTGTCTAAATGGAGAGGAACTTCACAGTCCTTCAGTGAAGAGGTCTGGGTGACCTTGTGCATGAATCGCAAAAAACTGCTATGCAGCAGGTGGTAATGAAGGCAAGTGGAATTTTGACATTTATTTCTCAAGGAATACAGTATAAAAGTAAGGAAGTGTTGCTGCAAGTGTAAAAGATATTAGTGAGATTACGCCTAGAAAACTGCATACAATTCTGGTCCCCTTACCTGGGGAGGGATGTAGTTTATATTGGAGGCAGTTCAGAAGTTAACTAGCTGAATTCCAGAGATGAGGGGGTTGTCTCGTACATAGAGATAGACAGTATAGGTGTATACTGCTCAAGAGTTTAGAAGAATAAAAGTAGATATAGTTGTGGTAATAACATGTTAAAGGGGTTAACGTAGAAATGACTTTTCCTTGTGGGTAAATCTGGAACAAGAGGTACTGGTTTTAGGTTAAGGGGTCATGGATTTAAAACAGATGAGAAATTAGTTGATTCAAAGGATCATAAATCTGTGGATTTCACTGCCCAGAGTGCTGTGGATACTGGGATATTAAGTAAATTTAAGAAGCTAATAGATTTTTAATTAGTAATGGATTGAAGGGTTATGGAGAGTGGGCAGGAAAGCGAGTTTGAGGCCAAGATGAGATCAGCCATGATTGTGTCACGTGGTGGCACAGGCTCGAGGGGCTGAATTACCTACTACTCCTAGTTGTTGCATCCTAAAAGAGCCAGTGTCAGCTTTGAAAGTGGGTGGATACAAGTGGTTAGGATCCAAAATGCACTATCTGATTGTGTGGTGGTGGTGATGAAATTGGGACTTATAAAAGGAATTGAATTAGAACAAGAACAAAGACTAATACAGTGCAGGAACAGGCCCTTTGGCCCTCTAAGCCTCCACTGCCAGATTTTGCCATTCCGTACTAAAACTGTCTTCACTTATAGGATCTGTATCCCTCTATTCTCTTCCTATTCATGTACTTGTCCAGGTGCTTCTTGAATGCTGCTATTGTGCCTGCTTCCACCACCACCTCTGGCAATGCGTTCCAGGCACTCACCACCCTTTGTGTGAAAAAAACGTGCCTCACACATCTTTTGTAAACTTGCCCATCCTCGCACCTTGAACTTGTGTCTCCTAGAAATTGACCCCTCCATACTGGGGAAAAAGCCTCATACTTTCACCCTATGCATACCATTCACAGTCTTATAAACTGCTACCAGGTTGCCCCTCGACCTTCTGTGTTCCAATGAAAACAAACCCGGTCTAGCTAACCTTCCTTCACTGCTAAAACCAGCCCCCCCCACAGAGAACATCTTGGTAAACCTTTTCTGTACCCTCTCCAAAGCATCAACATCCTTCTGTAGTGTAGTGACCAGAACCGTAGGCAATATTCCATGTGTGGTCTAACTAAGGTTCTTTAAAGCTGCAGCATAACTTATTTATCCTTGTCGTTAATGCCCCTTCCAATGAAGGCAAGCATGCCAAAGCCTTTTTTTACTACCTTATCAACTTGTGCTGCCACCTTCAGTGAGCTGTGGACCTGCACACCCAGATCCCTCTGCATGTCAATACTCCTAAGGGGTTCTGCCATTCATTGTATAATTTCCACCTGTACTTGACTTTCCAAATTGCATCACCTCACATTTGTCCAGATCAAACTCCATCTGCCATTTTTCTGCCCGTGCCTCCAACTGATCTATAACCTGCTGTGTCCTCTGACAATCCTCCTCAGTAACCACAACTCCACCAATCTTTGTATCATCTGCAAACTTACTAATTAAACCAGCTATGTTTTACTCCAAATTGTTTGTGTAGATCACAAACAGCAGAAGTCCCAGCACTGATCCCTATGGAACACCACTAGTCACAGCCCTCCATTCTGAAAAGCATCCTTCCACTCCTACCCTCGGTCTTCTGTGACTAAGCCAGTTCTGTTTCCATCTTGCCAGCTTACCCCGATACCATGTGACTTCACCTTTTGTCCCAGACTGTCGTGAGGGACCTAGTCAGAGACTTTACTGAAGTCCGTGCAGACAACAACAACCCTTTTTCCCTCATCAATCATCTTGATCACCTCCTCAAAAAAACTTGATCAAGTTAGTGAGGCACGACCTCCCCTGCCCAAAACCACGTTGTCTATTGCTAATAAGTCCATTTGCTTGTAAATGCAGATTACTTGAAGAGAAAATTTACAGGGTTTTGAGAAAAAGATGAGGAAGTGCGATCAAGCTTAGTTCTCAAAGAGCTTGCATAAGCTTAATTGTCCAAATAGCCTCCTCTGTGCTCTTTGTATTCATTCAGGGGACCTGGGTGTTAATGGGTGGGCCAGCATTTATTGCCCATCTCTAATTGTCTGTGAGACAGTCCTGGTGTGCTGCTGTCTTGAACCGTTGCTGTCCATTTGGTAACCAATTAATACTTACGCTGGGTCTTTCTCCCCCACCCACCCCCGTTGTACATTTGGTCATGCACTTGTGATCTCTCCAGTAGTGGAAAATGCAAAGTTATCAGGCTAAAATTTCAATATTATTTACAAGCATTTAGATTACACAGAAGTAAGATACTGCAATCCATTTGTGAAAATGACCAAGATTGATTCAATTTCTAAGAGCTAATTTCTAGAAGCTGCAGGGCACCTTTCTCTCAGTATAGTAAATTGTAAAATTTCCAATCGTGATGTATAAAAGGATTGTGACAAATATTCCTGCCTGTCTCCTACAGATATAGGCAAAGCTGATCTGAGGTTTAGGCAGATAGCTTACAGAATACATTTCTTTATTCAGAGTTGATGCAGAAACTTTTGAATCAAACCAAATGAGAGACATAAAAGATGTAAAATGGACTTGTCACATTCTAATGAACTACATCAAATAGTACTTCAGAGCAGAGCCCATTTCAAATGAATCTGCCATTAGGAGATTGAATACATCTGTAAGCTTGGGTTCTTCTGGTGCCTATTGCCAAGAGAAACCATTGCACCATCTGAATCAGAATCGATGATGAGATGCATGAACCCATCTATTAATAATTAGCTTGAGTTCAAACACTGTGGAAATTTCTACTGACCTGCACATCAAGGCTACAATATGAACAGAAAGTGCTGGAAAAACTGAGTCATATACGACTTGAAATGTTCATTCTATTTCCGTCTCCATAGATTCTGCCAATCATTTCAGATCTCCAGCATCTGCAGGATTTTGCTTTTGTGACATTAGAGTGACCTTTTCTAGGAGAGATTGCTGGCTGAAGCACATTTTTAATTTTTGGGTTTTGTCTGAAAAATGTCTTGAGAGAATGAACATTTTATGACCTGAAGTTGTAAGGGAGTTGTGTATAACAAAGAATATATGATTTAGGTCACTGTCTTCTTTTTCTTCCCTCTCTAGGAGAAAAGCCATATGAATGCCCTAACTGCAAGAAACGGTTTTCCCACTCTGGCTCTTACAGTTCACACATCAGTAGTAAGAAGTGCATTGGTCTTATATCACTTAATGGTAGAGCACGTTCAGGAATCAAGACACCTCTAGGCACTTCTCCATCCCTTTCACCATCAACTAATAGCCCTGCTAGAACACAACTCCGTCATAAGCTAGAAAACAATAAGCCTTTACAAGAACAGCCTACCGTAAACCAAATCAAAACTGAGCCTGTGGATTATGAGTACAAAACTATGGTTGTGACCTCTGGTATCAACTGTGCAAGCTCTTTCCAAAATGGAGGGTTAAGTGGCAATAATCCTCTCCAGGTCACAACTTCACCTCAGAGTGTGGTTCAGGCTGTTGTATTGCCAACTGTAGGCCTTGTCTCTCCTATTAGCATAAATTTAAGTGACATTCAGAATGTTCTTAAAGTTGCAGTATTGGAAAATAATCATGTCACTCTCCCTTCCAAAGACCCAGGAACAGTCTCTTCTGCATCAGTTCAACAAAACAGTCATTCCCTTATTTCATCAATCAGTCTTCCCTTGATTGATCAAGATGGAACAACCAAAATCATCATCAACTACAGCTTAGAGCCAAGTCAACTCCAAGCTGTGCCTCAAAATTTGAAAAAGGAGATTCCTAACCTAGCAGACAATTGTACAAATGAAAAGCCGCCAGAAGACCTCACAGTCAAAACTGAGAAAATGGAGACCAGTGTTGAAGGAGTTGGTAATACATGTCTGCTTTGTAATGAATGCCCTGGTGGACTAAATGCACTTCATGAACTAAAGCACTATCAACTTAAAACTGAATCTCATTCAGGAGAAAATAATAAGATCTCTGGAGCTTCTGTATCAACAGAAGAGAACACCTCTTCAGATCAAGAGCCATTGAAGAATCTGTTGTCACTTCTTAAGGCATATTATGCATTGAATGCAGAACCAACATCAGAAGAATTAGCAAAAATTTCGGTTGCTGTAAACCTACCATTAGAAAAAGTAAAAAAGTGGTTTGAGAAAATGCAAACAGGTCAGATTCCAGTCCAGCCATCTTGTCCTTCCTCTCCCACACCAAGCAACAAGGAGGTCAAACCAAATCTTCTTGTCAGTCATACAGATTCTTCACCTGCTTGTGATTTACAAGGCAACAGTGCAAATTCAGAAGCTCTCGATAAGATCACTGAATCTCAAACTACAAGTACACCACTTAATGTGATGGCAGATCCTTCAAGGAGTAATACTCCCTCCCCATCACCTCTAAATCTCTCTTCTGCATCTTCAAGAAATTCACAAAGCTATCTTAACACACCCGATAGCAACCAAGAGGATTTACAGTTGGAACCTCTTGATCTGTCACTTCCAAGGCAGCAAAAAGAGGGACTTGAAAGACCCACAATTACCAGTGTTTACCACAGCAGTGTTCATTATGTTCAAGAGGAGCCCTTAAACCTATCTTGTTTAAAAAAAGAACAAATAGAAAATGATGATAATCCTGAAGTAAACTCAAGTGCCAAACCTATAAATATTGCAATCCCTACAAATACAACTCAATTACCCACAATTGTTGCCATTTCAAGCCAAAACAATGTTCCATGTCTCAGAGCCTTAGCTACAATAAAGCAGGCCAGCTTCATTCCACAGGTGGCCTACACATATAAAACAACAAATTCAAATGGATCTGAATCACAACAGAAACCAATTCAAACCAATGGAAATCATGCAGTAAGTATACCATTATTACAGATCTTTTACGAATTATCTGGTATTTAAATAGATTTTTCAAAAGAAAGTAGATGGATAGTTCACGAAGTTTCTTTCTATTTTGTAAAGCTGAACATAGTTTTTACCAAATTTCAGAATTGTTATGATGCAGAAGAAAGCGATATGGCCCATCATGTCTACACTGGCATTTTAGTTTCATGTCAGTTTCTTGCCTTTTCCCCATAACCCATTACATTGTTTCTCCTTTTAATGTTGGATCTCTTGGATGCCTGAATTGAACCGGACTCCTCCACCCTTCCATGCAGTGCGTTCTAATGTCTGTGTGAAAGTTTTTATTCACCTCTTATTTGCTTCTTTTGCAAAATACTTAAACTGTAACAAAAAACAGAAGTTGCTGGAAAAGCTCAGCAGGTCTGGCAGCATCTGTGAAGAAAAGAAATAGTTAATGTTTTGGGTCCGGTGATCCTTCCTCAGAACTGGTTCTTGTAACTATCTTCTGCATTCTGTCCAATGTATTCACATCCATCCTGCAGTGTGGCACTGAGAACTGTACAGTACATTTCAACTGAAGTCTAACAAGTGCCTTATTCAAGTTCATCATAAGTTCCCTGCTGTTGTACTCCATGCTCCTGTTTTTAAGGCTAAGACACTGTTTCATTAACTGCAATGATTTGCCACCTTTACTGATCTTTGTATGTATACACCCTGGTCTCTGCTTCTGCACACCCTAGAATAGTGCCCTTTCCGCTGTGTCACCGTCTTTTTTGTACCAAAGAGCTTCACATCCTACTTCCCTGTATTGAACTTCATCTGCCACGTATCTGCCCACACCATCAATGTCTTTTTGAACTTTTATGCTGTGCTCATCACCGTTTATAATTCCTTCAAGTTTTGTCATCCACAGACTCTGAAATTGTCCTCTGCACATCAAGATCTAGATAATTTTGTATGTATCAGGAAAAGCATGGGTCCCAATATCAGTACCTGAAGAACTCCACTGCAAACACCTTCTAGCCTAAAAATATCAATTAACTGTTACTGTCTGTTTACCATATTGCTGCCAATTTTGCGTCTATGTTGTCACTGCCCCTTTTATGCTATGACCTATAACTTTCCTCTCAAATCTGTTGGAAGTCAGTGTACACTGTTGGAAAAACCCATCTGGTTCGCTAATGTCCTTTAGGGAAGGAAACTGCCATTCTTGCCTGGTCTGGTCTACGTGTGACTCCAGACCCACAGCAATGTGGTTGACTCTCAACTGCCCTCTGGGCAACTGGAACAGGCAATAAATGCTGCCTGAAAGCAACACCCTCCTCCTCTGAACAAGTAAAGAAAAACACCACCAAGATCCTTCTCCTCATTGACCCTTTCTATTACCTCTTCAAAAACATCAGCTATTTAGGCGCTATTTTCCCTGAAGAAATCATGTTGACCCTTCCAAATCGATCCATTTCTCCTATTAATTCTAACCTAAAGTTGTTTTCAAAAGTTACCCACCACCAATGTTAAATTGGCAGATCTGTAAATTGCTGGGCCAATCCTTATCATTTTTGAACAAGGGCAAAATGTTTGCAATTCTCTGGCACCACGTCTGAATCCAGGGAAGATTGAAAAGTAATTGCCAGTGCCTCTGCAAATTCCATTCTTGCTACCTTCAGGTTCTTGGATGCATCTCATCCAATTCCAGTGCGTTATCAACTTCAGTACTGGCAGCTTATCCAGTATGATCCTTTGTATCAATAGTCAGTTTTAAACTCTTCTAGTGACTGACTTTCTTTCTCTGTCTCCATGGCCTGGGCAGCGTCAGCATTATAGGTAGAGACAGATGCAAGGTATTCACTTAACACTTCAGCCATGCAATTACCCTCTAAGCATCAATCTCGTTTCGATCCCTAATCAGCCCTGCTCTTTTTTTTTTTAAACCACCTTTTTACTGTTGATGTGTTTAGAGAAGATTTTGTGATTTCCTTTTATGCTGAATTCCAGTAGTTTTCATTATCCTTCTTCGCTTCTCATATTTGTATTTTTTTAACCACCCTTCCTAAACCTTCTGTCTTCAGCGTGGTTCTCAACTGTATTTTCTAACTGACACCTGCAAGAAGCACTTTCTATTTCCTTTATCATTGTGATCTCTCTGTTTACTTGTCCTGCCTTTCCATTTTGAGGAAATATACCTTAATTGTGCCTAAACCAAATCCTCTTTGAAGGTTAGCCCATTTGTTCAGCCACTGTTCTTCCCACCAATCTTTGGTTCCAGTCTATCCAGCCCAGTTGAATTTTGCTCTTCGCTAGTTAATTATTCTTTACTCTGGATTAACCAGTTTAATTTTTTACCTTAATCCAAATCTTATATAATGATCACTGTCCCGAAATGTTCCCTGACAATCACTTGATCTATTTGACCCACCTCATTCCCAAGAAGTAGGCCTGGCAGTGGTTTCTTTCTTGTTGGACTGGACATCCTGCTGTAGAAAAGACTCCAGAACTCAATCTAGGATTACTAGTCAATTGCTGTCTCTTGCACTGTATTTATCCCAGTAAATATTCTATTTCTCTAATATTCAGACAATCATTGTTGCCCATTAGAACTACTGTATAATGTTGAGATCTCTCATTTCTTTGCAGATTTGTTTCTCAATATCCTTTCCACTAGCTACTGAGCAATGTTATTGCACTACTCTTAATCTTGAGCTCTAGCCAAATCAATTCTGCTCTTACACCCTCTGAAATATCTTCTTTCTCAAGTGCTTCAATGCTCTCCTTAACCAAGAACGCCACCCATCCCCCTTTCTATACTTTCCTTTTTTTCTAAACACCTTGTAACTAAGTATATTCAAAATCCAGATATGCCCTTCCTTAAGATAGAACTTCATTATCACCACAAGATCTAGTCCCACTGGACAATCTTTGAATGTAACCCCTCAATCTTATTAATTATACCCCCAATATTCACATACATGCAGTGTATGTTTGATTTAGGCTTCATTACATTTTCCCCTTACTCGACTCAATGGATAAACTTAACAGTTCTCTATTCTAGTACTTCCTGCCTCTCCCAGCATTTGTGCACCCTGATATTACTTTAATATTCTATCCTGGTTCCCACATCCCTGCTGAGCAACTTTAAACCATCCCTAACAGCATTAGCAAAACGCCTCGTAAGGAACCCAATCTAGGCCCTGTTCAGATGTAACCTGTCTGGCTCGTACAAGTGCCATTCTCCCCCATAGCTATCCCAGCAGTCTAAAACCTTCCCTCCTGCAGTATTTTTCCAGCCGCTCATTTATCTATTTTCCTATTTCTGTACTCAGTTGCACAAGGCACTCGGAGTCACCTAGAGATTATTACCTTCAAGGTCTTGCTTGCTAATTTTTGACTGTACTCTCTCTAAATTCCAGTCCCTCTTTCTACTTGTCATTTGTACCAATATGTCCTACACCTGCTGACTTTACCCTTCTGCAGAATAATGTCTGCTCCCAGCCATTCTGCGATATCCTTGATGCTAGCACCAAACCATCCTGAAGTTACCTTGATGACTGGAGAACCGCCGACCTGTTCTGTTAACTACAGAATCCCCTATTGGTTCTGCCCTTTAACCCACTCCCACCCCCACCAACTTCTCTACAGCTGCACTACCAATGGTGCCACAGGCATCAGTATTGCTGCATTCATTCAAGAATCCATCACCACCTTCATTTTAAGCTTTGAATGACTAGGTCAGGAGAAGCATCCACAGCTTCCCACATGCCACAGGATGGCCATTCTACTCGGATGTAGGCCTCAGCCCATTGGGTCTGCTCTGTCATTTGGTGAGATCACAGCTGGTTTGATAATCCTTAATTCTACTTTCCTGCTTTTCCTCCCCCATAACTCTTGATTCCTTTATTCATTAAAGTCTGGTCTATCTCAACCTTCAATATACTTAATGACCCAGCCTTAACAGTCTTCAGTAGTGAAGAAATTCCTCTTCATCTGTGTTTTACATGTGCAACCCCTTTTTCTGAGATTATGCCCTAGATACTACCACGTGGAGAAACAACATTTCCACATCTACGCTGTCAAGTCCTCTAAGAATTCTGTGTTTCAATAAGTTTGCCTCTTAGTCTTCTGCATTCTAACAACTACAGGTCCAATTTACTTAGCCTGTCCTCACAAGACAGTCCCTGCTTACCTAGTATCAACCAAGTTAACCTTCTCTGGATTGCCTCCAATGCCAATATATTTTTGCTTTGATAAGGGGCCCCAAAATTTTTCACACTTCCAGCTGTCTGCACTGTAATACCTTAAATAATGTTAAGTTACTTAGTATCTTTAATGATTTTAACTTTACTCTTGTACTATTGACTAAGAATTTGAGATTAGTAGAAATTCTTTGCTCTTCCTCCTAAGTCAACTGTCTCCTATGCCTATAAGCTTTTTATTCCCCATACTAACTTTGCATTTCACGTTTCTTTTGTGTGCGTCCGTCCCTGCGTCCCTCCCTCCG